ATGCACAACGCGGAGCCCCCGCCCGCCCGCGCTGCAACGACAGCAGGAGGCCGGGTTCCCGTTTGGAAATCACAGTATTTTATACACCGAAGGTTTATTCCTATTATTTCCCCATTGTATTGGCAAATGCAACAGTCTAGCTTGGGAGCTTTTTAAGATAGAGAGAGATATATGTATACATAAAAACACAAGTTGTAGGGAGGGGCGGGGGCCACTCAGCAGGTACGTTTGGACAGTCACCCTTTGAGACACCAGACAGTTTCAACATCGTTTAACTGAAAAAGTTATAAATAGTACTATTTTCTTTTTTTTTTTTTTTTTTTTTTTTTTTGCTAAGGGATCTCCTCGCTTTCCGCTGCTCCTTCTCCTCTCGGGACGGGAAGGGAGCCGCCCCCAACAGCTCTCACCCCCACAATTTAAAATGAAAACAGTACGCAATTCTCAAATCAATCAGATTACTTGCTCTGAAAACGCTGGGGATCCGCTCCGTGTTTACGTTTGACAACTTAACAGATTGGTTTTGCTTGAAAATCAGCCTTGTGCACACACACGTTACAAAACCGTAAGTTTTAAGGGGAGAGGGGGGAAAAAAATTCCCTCTGGAAGCGCAGCTCCCGCACGATGCCGTCAGGAAACCGGCCTCCCGGGAAGCCAAACGCGAGAGCTGTTGAAATAACTGCTCCGGTTCTCAAAGGGTCGGAACTAAAAGCAGCTTTTGCCGGCCCGCCGCCGGGGCTCGCGAGATGAGGCGCCTTCTGTCGCGCGCAGCCGGCGCCCGCTCCCCGCGACGGCTTCGCCTTCCTCCGTCCCGCTCCCAAAGCGCCGTCTGCCCCGCGCGCAAGGAACAGAACCTGGATTTCTCTCCACCAGATGGTCCCTAATTTTGACAGTTGCATCCAGTTGTGTTATTTTTAAATTAAGGCCATTTTAAATGTCTACTTACAAGTCTAATAAACAAGATCTCTTATATACACATGTAGTTTAAAAAAAATTAGAAGGTAGCATTTAGCAACAGCTCCCTGTAAAAGTCTCCAGTGAGGAATCTCATCTCCTACTTGGATGCTTCATTCTGAAGTGACTCTGGTTTTAAAAAAATAGATCACAAAACAAGAATTTACATGCACGAGAGTCATTCGAACGAGCGCGCGATACAGGCAGAAATCCCACCGGGGAACCCCGGGGCCGCAAGGAGCGCGTTCACCTCGCGCTGCGCCGCTGGCTGCTCCCAGGCACGGGACTCCGAGCCCCCTCTGCCCACACCTCTCTGTTCTGTTAGGGTACCCTCCTGTTCGAAGCTACTTTCCCCCCTTAAATTGAAAAAGCATTAGCAAATCTGAAAGAAGCAGAGAGCGGGAGTTAACGTGTACTACTGGGCTTAAATCCTGACAAAAACCATTTTCAACACCGATGCGGGATAACCTTTCAGTTGCGCGGGGAGGAACAAAAAAGACAGAGGGAAGCTAAGAGATCTAAAGAAAAAAACAAAACATTTTTAGTGCAAATGGTCAACTAACGGCACAAACGTGAGCAAACGCGCACCCAGATTAGAGAGATCCCAACGACGCTTCTGCTCAGCAGTGTCTGCGTGAATCTCGGGACGGCGTCCCACCGATTTCTGGAAGCACACAGAAACCTAGTATAACTCATTAAGAGCGGCCCAGCTCCTCTGCGGACCTTCCGTATCGCCGGCTGCCAACAGCAAGGAAAAAAAGCTTTCTCGCGGGCAAGGGGACGGGGAGAAGTGCTGAGGGGTTTTTTTGCTTGAAAGTCACGACAGCTGCGAAGGAACGGACACGTTTTTAGGCAAAAAGCAAATCCAGCTGATGCAGACCGAGCCGCAAGAGAGCAGAGGGGGACCTACCACGGCAGAGGGGGATCGACACAGCACAACTCGTCCTGAAAGGAAAACTAAACCGGCTCTTTTATTGAGGCTGTATTTAACAAAAATGGACGCGGGTGTTCAAGCCCTACGGCATGGAAATGCTCGCCTCTAGCAGGCGCTGGCTCCTCTCGCGCTCGGGGCGTCAGGCGCAACGTGCCTTTCAATTTGTTAATAATACTCAATTTGTTAATAAGACTCAAAATAACGTTAGGTCGTTCACTTCTGCCGAAGAGAGGGGTCGGGTGCTTCTGGGTTCTGTTGCTGCGCAGATTACCGCGCAACGCAGACCACGTTTTAGCGGCGCCCCGGCCGTCACCACAAGCCTGTTGGGCTCTTGCTAAATCTTTCACCTTTTTCAAATTTGAGACGAGTCCCAAGCGCAGAGATCTGGGAATCGTCACCGGTTCGGCCAGGACACTGAGGCGAAACCACCGATTCAGAGTCGAGGGGTGGTCTGCGGTTTGGTTTTTTTAATCTGCCGTTGATAAAGCGTCACTCGCCGGCCCGTTACACCGCAGCACAGAACGCTGGCAAGGACTAACAGAAAGAGTCTTGTCTCAAATTTAACAGAGCCTCGGCCTGTCGGAGGGTACAGTACTAGTCGCTGTGGAGCAAGCTGTTTTTTCCCCAGGGTGAAAGAAGGAATATCTAAGTTCCTGCCACCCTACGCGGACTATATAAAAGGAAAAAAATCTAGACTTGCCTTAGGCTTCCTTACTTCTGCTCAACATCAGTTTAAAATTCCAGTTAGTTAAAAATACCTATATATAAAATATATATAATATATTTCTGGAATAAAAACACAAAAAAGATGTACTGTACAAGTATTATGTAGAGTGCTTCAACTGGCTGTATGTAGTTTAGCTACTTTTCTAATATCCAAATACTTAAATAAAAAAAAAACACAAAACAAAAAGATCATAAATAATGGTAACAGAATAAGTAATGAATACGCATAAAAAATAAAAAATAAGTCGTCATGATTTGAGCCAGGCATCGCTATAGAAATGCCCTTCCTGTTGCCCAGGAATCTCTCACAAAGTAAAATTAGAAATACGCTCTGCAAGTTAGTCTCCTATATTCTTTTAGCTGCTTCAAAATGTTCTGATCCTTCCTCCGTGCTAATCAAGTAATGAATTATAGTACTTTTTTGTGTGCTCAGAAATGCTATATATATATATGTATACATATATTTATAAATATATATATTACATATATATTTTTTTTAAAAAAAGCTTTGAAAATAGTGTTTACAGTTGCCTTTTCTGACGAGCCGGCTACAGAAGGCCATCGGGCCGCCAGGCTGCTTTTCAGCTTTGCCAAGTACGCGGGTTTGCTCAGGGCACGAGAAGAGGCCGTGGGTGCGGGACGACAGGCGGGGAAACAAACCTGAAAGCAAACGTGGCATACCGACCCAGGAAGCAGCGTTTTTACTCTACCAAGCAGCTGCCAGGAAGCGGAGCGAGAACGGCCGCAGCCCCCGGCCCCTCCCGGAGCGGGGCAATGCAGAGATTTGCTTTCCAAACAGAGGAGGGGGGGGGGGGGGGGGGGGCGAAGCCATCGCGGCCCCCTCCCCATCCCAAACAGCAGCCAACGATTTGGTACGTTAGAAAGAATCTCTTTACCCTTGGCTCTGAACCTTCCTCGCCTGCCCAAAAACACCCCCTTTCTAGTGCAAAGGATAAACCGACAACTTAACGCTGGAGCTTTGGTGGGAGGAAGGGGGGGCTCCGGAGAGGAAAAGGCTGATGGAAACTCCTTACTCATTAATGGCAATGAGCGGATAAGGGGTGAAATACGGCGCGACAGGGAGTAGGGGTCTGCAGCGCTGCAAGCTTAGAACGACAAGCTTTACTCATTGTACATGTTGTACAGGACAGAGCTACTGCTCTCAGCAACTCCTGTTCTGACACGACTGACCCGTCGGACTCTCGAGTTCGGCTGGGCTCCAGGAACAAGCGTCGTTCCCACGCTCCTGGTGTCCACGCTTCACAGCCGGTCCATCCTGAACGTGTCCTCTGTGGCGGGGTCGGTGAGGACCATGTCTGGGTCGTTCAGCATGTGCAGTCCATCCAAGGTTAAAGGGTCAATTTTGAGTTCATCCAGAGGGAACTGGGAATCCGTATCAAAGCTGACGTCTCCCACTCCTGCCAAAGAGCTGGTCAGTTCTTTTGATAAGCTGGGAGGAGATTCTCCTGTCACTGCAGGGAAGAGGAAGGGAAAGGTGTCGGTAGGACTTAGCCAATACACATCCGCCAGGCAGATGAGTCAGAAACAGCCTGCAAAAATTCTGGAATAATTTATTGAACTAAGGCTGAAGTTCAGATGAGCAACACCTATCCTCATTTCCAGCTGGCTGAATTACAGATTCATCCGAGCATCTCAGAACCGTCACAGTGGCCTAACACAAACCCAAATTCATACACAGGTACTGGGGGGCCACGAAGTGGCATCACTTCAGTCTCTTTTCTCCCCCTTAGGTTTAGGAGCAATAACCTTAATTTACGTGATTCTAATCAGCAAGAGTCCTTGGCTGAAACATGGATTGGACTACGGGCTTCTCAGCGGCCTGTGCAGGAATTGTTTCCAAGCGTCCAACTGTGACCAGATTTGCTACCCTACGTGACACTAAAAAACCCTTCGTTGGCAAGCTCGAACAGAGCAGCAGAGGAAGAAGTTCGGCTTTCACCGCTTCTCCCTCACTGTGACGGAGGATCCAGTAAATTCAGAGGCAGGGAAAGTCTGAGAGACAATTAGTGCTGCCATTGCAGCTCGACTTGTTTGCTGGGATTAAACGAGAGCCGCCAGGCTCCCCGGCTCACGGGGAACACGCCAGACCGGCTCACGGGGAACACGCCAGACCGGCTCACGGGGAACACGCCAGACCAGCAACACGACCGTTTACACAAGGTGAAACAAAACCTTCAAAGGCAACACCACCCTTTTTCCTTTCTCAGCTCACTTCTAACACTGCACAACGAAGAGAAACACCGACACCGGGATGGTTTTACTTGTCGGTGAAGTCTGCGATTTTCTTACCTGTAAGAATGATGTTGGGGATGTTTCCATGGCTGGAGTAATTCAGCTGCTGCGAGTCCTGCAAGCTGCCATGACTGCCGGTAAGTCCCATCATGGCTGCCTGGGAGTAGTTAAGGGTGGAACAAGGGCTGTACAGGCTGTTGGAACTAATGGCGTTTTCTATCATATTAAACTGTTCAAGCTGAAGACCAAGGCACAAAGGAATTATTACTTCTAACCATCAGGAAATACAGCAAAACAACTTACAAAGCTCAAGTACGGGAAGTAATGTTGAAAGAGACAGGCAAACAAATTCATCTTTAGGTTTCGTTGATCAAAATATGGTCTATTTTCACTTAACTTTCCAGAATAGTTCACTGCCAAATTCAGAGTGCAGGGGAATGAGGAGAGGGTGGATGCAAAAATAAAATTGTTGCTTTTGATATCGTAAGAACAAAAGAAAAGGTAGCTTTAAAACAAAGTAAAAAAACCCCATAATTCATGCTAATACCTCAGGTATCTGCCCATCAAACACCGCCTCTCAGAAGCCATCTCCTTTTTTCCTGCCACCAGAGCATATTTCACAGTTGAATGAATCAACGCACTGGTTGGCCAAACTAACGAAGGCACGGCTCTGCTTGTTAGGCTTTGGTACCGGGCACGAGTTGTTTGCCAAATTCAGGAGTAGATATTGTTACCACCTACAAGTGAATCCTTCCCAAATGCAACCACGGCCAGAGATGTGGGGGGTTTTTTAAACTTCTTTTCATTATTTTTAATCCAATAAACTTGGCAGAACACCTTTAAAAACATCTGCTACAATGGCTAAGAGGGAGGAAAGGGAAGGAAGCGCGGGGGAAAATTAAAAACAGAAGAAAAGAAATCCCTGAGTAGTGCGAACTCAAAATAACAGAGGTAAAACTATATGGACAAAATGTGAACTCACATAAAATAATCAGACGTTGATCTATATTTATTTTAAGCTGCAAGTGGCCGAAATATAGCTGAAAATCCGAGATGAATTTGCTCACCTGATGGGATAGGGCATTAGCCTGCCTAGCTGTCATCTGCTGATCATAATAGGAGTCACCAAATACACTCCCCAGAATGGAAGAATGCTGAAAACAAAACAGAGTCTTTATGGTGCAAAAATCTCACAAACAGACGTACCCACGGCGTGCGAGTGACTCGAGCCTTCCAACCGCTTCTTCTCAAAGTTAGTTAGCAGCGCCCTTTGTTATTAACAACCACTAACCATCAGCAAATTCATAAAGCGCTCGGTATTCCCCTCCGAGACACAAACCCTTCCACGTTATGCTGCCTTTCGGTAAGCACAAAAATACAGTCAAGTAAACCAAACTTCCTCACGGAGGACATACAACATATACAACTTCTGATTTATGAAAACAGACGAGTGCGCTAGGTAACACGAGAAATGAGGGGGGAAAAAAAAAAAAAATCACTCTGCAACTCCAGCTTTTTTGTGAACTGTTTTTTTTGGGTGAAAGACAAACCCCACACAGAAGTAAACTGCGCGTTCGAACAAAATGCGATGCAAAGCTGAGCACCGGCAGGCAGGTAGTGACGGGCTCGCTGTCTGCAGCCTCCTGTCCAGGGAACAGCCAGCTTCGCTGAGCCACCGACGTGCCAAAATAAAACTGACATTTTGAAGTCATTTCACTTTAGCTGCAGATCAGAAAAGTTAACGAGAAAGCCCGGTAAAGCATGTTATCGGCAAGAATCTCAGGAGGAATTCCTCAGCCTCGCTAATTTTACTGTCCCCTCTAGCATGACAAGCATTTATCAGTTATTCTCCATCATTTATCAATTATTCTAAATGTGACCAAGAATTTCAGGTCAATTTTTTAATACTATTCAGTACTGTCCCAAAGAATTGCCCAATCTAAAGGAAATCACAGAGAGCTCACTTCTTATTTGAAACTGTCACAAACTGTGATACTCCAGCTGAAAAAAAACATCTACTGACAAAGAGAGTGCCTATAAAAGACAATTTGCATGGAGAGTCTGTATCGATATTGAAAAAAAATTCAATACCTTGCATAGCATTTTCCAGCTGTTTTATCTATGCATTAAAAGAGGAAGGCTACAAATTTTCTCCTTAGAAACCTGATCAGCATGTGAAATTAAGCAAAAGCCTAGGAAATCTCAGAACAGAGTTACACCAGCCACCACAGTTAAAAGCACTGAACACAGCCAAAGGTTAAGATACTCAAAAAAACACAGGACGATGTCCACAACGGTGAACATAAGAATTTCAGCAAACATCACATGTTAAACATTCTCCCTCCTACATCAGTAGCATGTCTCAGCGCAGCTTATTTGCAGGTTGCATGAAAGGAAAAGAATGGAAGTCTTGTATAAAAAAAAAAAAACCCTGAATCGCCCACAACCTCCGTGAGAGGGGACTATCAGGATAGAAGCAACAACACATTCTTTTTAAAGCAAATGAAAACCTTCCCACCTTCAGCCAGAATCCTCGGCTATCGCATTATATGGATGCTTTTGGATAAATGTGGCATCAAGGGAGGAATTCGTAGCCTGAGAACGAGACTCCGTGGGGGAAGGTGGCTGAAAGTTCAGCGCGTGCTACGAAACTCCTTGCTGAGCAGATCCTGTTTGATCCAAGAACTGCTCCGCGCATCACCGCGAAGCGCTTTCCACCGGCTGGCATGCCAGGGTGTGGGCATGGTCTGAATGCACTCGGAGAAGAGAGGAATTTGCTGCAGAACAGCGCTGCTGGATAACGTCAGAAGGCTGGAAACGCAAGCCCTACGGACCTCCACGGTGCTGCGTTTAAAGTACGATCCCGGCAGAGTCAGGGAAGGTAGCAGACAACTGCTTCTTTGTCAGAGAAGAGCATAACAGTAACTTCTCCGTAAGAAATGGTTTAACTAAATGAAGCCAGCTCATCCTCAAGACCGATTAAATGGAGCCTGAGCCAAGAACAGGGGTTTACAGACAAAAATAAGATTTTGATTCACTTTCCTGGGCATTTCTGATGCGTCACAGCAATGACCACAGAACAATAATGTCATCTTTGCAGCTGCACACCCTACTCGATGCCCTCCTTAGAAGCAGGTAAAAATGGAAAATGGTTGTAATTGGAACTGGTCTTCCAATTTATCATCTGGTCCTCAAAACTACAGCGGCTGCTCTACCCCTCGCAAAAGACAGGGCTACGAGGAAGTTACCAAACATCACAAGCTAGAGCCACGTTACACCTGACAAGAGAAAAAGCAAAGCACTACTTAAATAAAAAAACCCCACTTTTCCTTAAACCACTGAGATCTTACTTGCTGCCCAGTCACACTTTGATCAACTCCTCAAACTCCACGTTATTCACCCTGCTACCTACGTTGCTTTTTTCTTTAAAAAAGACGGAGTCGGAGCGTAGAGGTAACTCAAGCAAGCAGATCAGGACCAGCCAAGCTTAACCGCATCACGGGAAAATGGTTCCCATCTTACGTGGCAGGCATGGCTTCCGAGCTGTGTGATGTTTTATAACAATTTCTAATGAAAAATTTGCATTTCAGGATGTCACGTACTCAGCGTGAATCAAAGCCAGTTTGGACCGGCACTAGAAATACAGTTGCTATTCGAGAGCTCCAAAGAGAATCAGGTATTTTTTTCCTTTAACTTCTGACATTTCACTTTTACACGAGCTTTCCAGAAGTAGGGCAAAAACTAAAATCTTTGCATTCCACTAAGCGTTGTTCCCATCCTAAGAAGTTTGGGCAACATGAAAAATAATAAACGGGAGACCAAAATCTATTTGTGCAAGTCTGCGTTAGTAACCCCTAGCAAAACATACGAGCCCGTATTTATTCCTCAGCTCTGAAGTACACCAGTTGTTAACATCTGTAAGCACTGAAACTCCCAAAGGAAATCAACTGGAAATGTCATTACTTCAACACTTCGGAGTCCTAGAATAATTTATCGACAACTCTGTGAAAAACATCTTGCTAACACCATCTCCTCCAGAAACACTAGATGAGGTCTGTTTTGTCAACAGTACATCTTCTTGGGTTAATGATGTGGTGACTGCAAGAAAACAAAACCCAAACCACAAAACCCCTGGCTTAAATTATTAATCTAAAAATACATACCATATTATCCAGTATACAGCCATTCTACTAAAAAAAGCAGATTTCTATCTAATTGGAACAGTATGCCAGGTGTTAGAGGAGGAAAGCGAAGTAGTAAACAACAAGCCATTGTCAATGAAAAGCCATGCAAACACAAAGCTGAGAACTACAAGCAGAGCTTTTCAATTCGTGTTTGAAGAGGAGGACCTTCGTATAACGAACACACATCTAAAACACGAGAGTAAATAGATTTGGAGATGTGGAAAGATGAAAAATAACTTCTGGTGAATGAACCGTATGTGATAAAAATCAAACCACAGATTTCTATTTTTAGAGCATGTCACTCATCACACTGATAGGCTTCAGAACGATTTAACCTAAAATTAATCAGAGAAACAGGAGCAAGTGGAGGACGCCTACCCGGTCACACCTACTTTATTCCACTCTTGTCAGCCAGTGCCAGACTGCTCCACAGTGGGCACATTCTGCCGTTGGAACCAAGCTGCCTTCACTCTTGGCAGATTACGCTACCGTCTCATGGGTCCTGCTGTTTGGGAGCTGCCCCCATCATCGCAACCAACCCAAATTTTTCTTCCCAACTGTTTTTTCTTCCCCCATTGCTTCTTTCCATTGCAGCCACCACCACAGATAGCTTGCTCGCCACTACTAGCTTTTGGCTCATTGATGGAGGCAGGAAAGCTGTCTCATTTTTAATTCAGCCAAAATAAAGAACTGTGTGGGTATTTTTAAGAGGCCAATACTAAGTTAAGTGGTATTAATAAATCCTCTTCCTTTCACGTGTGAGTTATGGTGTCCCACTTGAAAATAGCAAAACCTAAGCAAGAGTTTACAGGATAAAACAGGCCCAGCGGGAAAAATTATAGTCAAATGTGTGCTCCCCTGGGGAGTGCTTGCTCACTCCAGTGCTCTGGACTGACCAGTGGCAACAAGCCTGGGGACAAAACCAAGAAAGGGTTATTGAGAAGTCAAGGGGGAAAGAAAATCAACGCAAAAATCAGAATCGGATGCGCTGCCCAAATGAGAACTGGACCTGAGAATTTGCAGCAAGACTGGCAACAGCTTTGCTCTACGTGACAGCCTAGAGGAGTAAGTTTGCTTGTTTTCTTTGAGCCACACACAGAACACAGCAGAACTGGCAGAAGCAGGCAGAAGAGAGAGAAGTTAAGAAGCAATTAAGCAAGGGTTAAGAAAATCCAGACAGTCCTGACACTCGGATCTATTACTGAGCTTACCAGTGACCTGTCTCTGGCTAATGGCAAGGAGAGACGAAGCTTCTGCTTTGGAACCATGAAGGGGCAGCACTTATTTAGATAGGATCCTCCTTACAGCCTTAAACGTTAAATGATGAAACAGAAAATGTATTTTCAGACTCTGTTGTGATGCTCTGGAAGAATTTCCTGCACCTCGTTTCTACAGGTGGGATTTAGGAAAAGGGCAGCCATACGGAGCTATTTTAGCAGCATCAGATTATTTCTGTGCTGAAAATGCGCTCGCTCCCTTACATCAGGGGCACCCCCAACGACTGCCTCGTTTTTAACTGTCCTGCTGCTGGCAGGTAAAAATTCCCCTTCATAGGATTACACACACACCGAGCTATGACTTGCATACAGGACACGTGGATGTATGAGTATATACATACACAGGAAGAAAAACCAGCTAGCATGCAAGAAAGTGTGTTTACTAACCCGTCACTTGCAAGCCGCAAGATACAATCGCTCGTTTTAAGAGCATTTTCTCCAGTGGTTTCTTTCAAAGTGGATGTTCCCACGTGAAAAAAGGTCCCGATGTAAATGCATTTGGCCACACAAGGGATATTTAGTGCCACAGGAGTTATCCTGCTGCAGGAGGCACTTGAGTTTCCCTCTCTCTCCCCTGCCCCCCCAACCTTATCCGTCAGCTCCTACACGATATTGCTAATTGAAAGGGGTCGACCTGGAGGTTCTGTCCACGGTGCACCCCAAAGAAATAACTGAGTTTTAACTGCGTTCAAATAGTAGCTTTGATCAATAAAAAGGCAATTCACCAGCTATTGAAAAACTCTGGAACTGAATGAAACTGCAAACAAGATGAGACATCAGTAATGCATGAGGCACATACAATTACAATGAGACAACTATGGGTCAGTAATGGAGAGACTCAACTAAAAACAAACACAAGAAGCAAGGCCTGTGGAAGCACAGAGTCCCTTACTTGAGGGGAGCTGCCAGGAGAGAAGCCTTGATTGGAGACAGGAGAGGTGGGAGACTGGTTGGCTGGGGATCCAGCATTACTGCGGTACTGCTGGAGTGAAGCCTACAGAACAACACAGAATTAAAGACCATGGGATTGATGGAAGGCTGGAAAATTATACACTTCTGGCGTATACAGCTGGAGGAAGCTGGGAGAAACCATCCTCTTCAACAATTCCTGGCTATGCACGAAAACACGATTACTGTGAACAACGCCGCAAAAAGGAGAGAGTTAAGATACCAGCGTGGCGCGGTCTTGTCTGACCGAACGGCTGAGAGCAGGGCTGTGCTGCTGTACAAGCAAAACTGTTGAAATATTTTCTCACTGTTCTCAGTTACGTTCAATTAAAAAAAAAAAAAAAAATCTGGTCAGCCAACGATTTAGGGAAAAAAGTATTGAAAGCTGGGAATAACTCAAAAATAATGTAATTTATTCTTCAGTTCAACTGCCATACCCACACACTCTTAATCTGTGTTTACACTGCTCTGGAAATCCTTCTCGTATTTCTCTGCCTGGTCTTAAATAGCCTGGGTGCATTATCAAGACTGAAGTGTATAACCATGCCGACTGGAATCCTTCTCAAAGCCGCATTTTACCCCAGGACATGGAGCAGACATTGTCTGAGAACTCACACTGTGTTTTGCAGGGTTACGTTAGTTACATTCACATTGTTCTCAGTCGTCTTGAGAACCCATTGTCAAAGATTCACCTTTTTTTAGCCGTAAAGAACCCTGGATTCGAACAAATTAATAATCTTAATGGCATTCAAATAGAATGTTGCACTAATTAACATAAATAGTAAGTACAGCTCTTATACTTCCTTTAGAAATTAACAGATGATTGAGGAAACCCTGCAAGCCAGTAGTTCTAAGAAAAGGCGTAATTTAATCACAGAGCTTTGCAGTGTGGGAGAACGTTGTACTACCAATGCTTTCTGACACCGAATGCTGTACATCTCAAGAAAATACGTCTTAACCCTTTTTGCTATGCATTGCTACTTACGCACTTGAAGCAGACGTCTGAACTACGGCAAAATTAATTTCAATATTGCTTTACAAAAACCGCATAAAAGCTGTCAGTGAGACTGTAATGCAGCTCAAACGGCTTTTTGATGAACTAGCGTTGAATTTAAGTTTATTTATGAATTATTTCAGTTGCTTTAAAAGATAAGCACAGCACCCTAAAAGTTAAGGTCATAAAGAAGTTTAGGATGAGGAAAGCAACACAGAAAGCAAAGAATGAAAATCAGAATCATCTGTACTGGTAGCTGCATGAGCATTAGCATCAAAACATTCGGACACATTTTGAGTGGGTCAGCATCCTTTCCACTGCTGGATCTGTCCTTCCCCTTCCAATCCTGAAAGGGAAGCAGCTTCTTTCAAGAAGCACTTATCAGCACAAACTGTTAAAAATTTCATCCGCAAATGAAATCCACGATCGAGTGCTAGATCAATAGACAACGATTTCTTCTCATTCTCAAACCAGTTACTGTCGCTAGCACGCTGCCAGAAGGACACAAGGGGTCAGACAACCAAGATCCTAAACAGCAGGGCAGAAGGAGCAGAGAACGAGCTGTGAAATTCTTCCCTAGCTAGCCTGCAACCCTGATCCTGCTCCGCAGACCATGTTAACACAAGCAAAAAAAGAAATCTATCCATAAATCATTGCTATATGTATGTATACACTCCATTTCTTCTGGGCATCTGAAGGCAGCCACAAATCCAATTTCTGAAGATAATAATGTATGCTCTAAAATTCCTTCAAGTGAAAGGGCTCCAAATATAGAAAGTGTAACAAAATACCTGGTTCTCTCCAACTTTTGGAAAATGCTTGTTAGCAGACTTCTTTATCAAAGTTCTGTTAACCCCTCCAGTCTGTAGCACACTTTGTAACACACAATGTGTCGGGGGTGCATTACATCTAACAGCCTGAAAACACACCAATGCAACGCCAGCAGCAAGGTATGAAATAAATGCCGATATATTGAAGTGGGTCTATACAAACACGGAGTCGTAAGGGACACCGTTTTATGAAACTACGGCCACCCTAAGCGTACATTAAAACCAAATTTTCCTCTATAAAACATTTAAATGTGGATTCAACCAAAACCATTCTAAGTCTACTTCAGACTCTGCCTAAAAGTACACTTATTACAAGGGCTGGCCAGCTTGAACTCTGACACTATGCTGTGCCCTACCAGGTTTTCCGAATGAAAGCTCTGTCATTTCCAGCTGTGCCCAAGCTTACCGAGTTGATGTCTATTCCCATCGATGGCTGGGTCTGGCTACCCGGAGGTGACTGGGGGATGGTAGAAGGTACCGTGACGGAGAGTGGGGGGAGTTGTGTTCCTCGCTGTAAACCAGAGGTCTGCATTAAAGGAGTATTCTGAGGCAGGGTACTTGCCACCTGGGTCTGCTGCTGTTGCTGGGAAGTTGTCTGGGTAAAAAATGGGTATGGGGGAAGCTGCTGCTCCAGAGACAATGCATCCATAGCCACCGCCTTAAAAAGAAGAATCAAAATCATCCACGCTGGCAGGTAATTCCCCTTCATTTTCACGCACATCAAGTTTCACACCAAGAGAGCTGTACCAAGTCAATCTCATGTTGCATTTTAAAAACCTTACCGAAAGGTTCAGAAACAGTGAAGAACATGTTTCAAAAGACTTACTATCACCTCCAGCGTACAATAAACAAATACTCTAAAAGCCCAGATGAACGTCCAGGTCAGAAATTGATAACCTAGTCAGTGGCAGAGTCACACTTATGAAATCAATTTAAAAAGCTAATTGAGCTTCTCTCATGAATTGGAGAAATGTCTTTCAAATTTTACAACTAACTTTGGGACAATACCGTTACAGAAAAGTGTCCTAATAGATGTTTTTTACCACTGTTCTAGAAAAGCGAAAGTAAAATCTGTCCCCTCTACAAACCTCTCCCTTTTTAAGGCTCTGAATTAATGAACACATTTAAAGAAGCAAATTACAGAACAAGACAGATGAAGTTACAGTCAACTTCTCCCCGGGTAAAATAATTAACCTGTGATGGAAAAATTTTAATTCTCCAAGTTCCTACCTGAGTAATCGGTGACAAAGGGGAAAGCGTAGGAGACATTTGCTGTGACTGTGGTCGTCTTGAGTCTGCACTCAAGGAGAGAGGACTGGCGGCTGGCTGACGGTGCTGCTGGGAAGGGGCTGGCGTCGTTGTCATTCCTGCAGGAAGGAAGAAACCAGCTTAAACGGGAACAGAGCAATGGTTTATTGATACTTGTGTAGAGGTAATTGCCTAAATGATGAAAAATGAACGGCGTAAGTGGACAACCACTTAATGCAAAGTGCTGAATGCACCTCGGCCAATCAGGCTGAAACTCATTAGCTTATTTGCAATTAATTTTGTCAGGCTGAAGAGCATCGGGATGAGAGGAAGATCCCTGTGGTTTATCCTGGACCAAAACCAGTCACAGATGTTCGGGTTTGTGCACAGATACCGACTTGAAATTGAAACAGGCAGAGCAGCTTCAGCGGTTTACAGAAACCATGGCTATCGGTCTCGCACACCTCCCGGCCTGCACGCACTGAACCCAGGAGAAGCACATTCTGCTCTCTTTGCAAGGGCTCAAACTTCAGGAAGAAGATAACAGATCGTATAACAAGACTAATCAGAGGGCCCTTGTGATATTATAAAAGCAAACACCTATTTAATGGAAAATGCAGAAGAAAAACTGGTTACACAGGAAGCACTCCATTTTTAATGGCATACCAGTGCACAGGAAGGCAGGAAATATCCTTCACACTCTAAAGAGCCACAACCTAACAGGGGGCAGGGATAAACAAGTCAAATATTGTAATTTTGTTCAAATTCAAGACAAAAATCTGGAAGTTTTGAAACCTTTCCTATTTTCTGCCTCACCCTAGAGGAACTGAGACACCCTGGAAAGTGATTTCAGGACAATCTAGCTAGCGAGCTGTTCCTCTGGAGCTGCCAGAAAGGAGGAATTCACAAGAGCCTGCGAGCTCCTAGGCACCTGGCAAATGTTCAAGGCTTCCAGGCAGGCTGCCAGGGAGCCAGGAAGTCCAGGCTGCCAAGGAGCCAGCAGGCAAACCGGCTGAAACCGCGCAGATTCTGAAGACTGCCTGGCTTCCCCTGCCATGTTTTCAAAATCAACACCGTCTCACGGAACATGTCAGCGAACTGACAAACTCAAATGCACAAATGTGTAGTCTTAAATTGCTGGCAGTTCTTTGTAACCTGACAGGTGTTTGTTTCCCCACCTTTTCTCGGGGCTGCTGAGGGCATGCCTGTGCAATGCAGAGAGCTCCTGCAAAAGGTTCAAAAGCCTTTACGTTTTCTGCTAAAGAGCCAGAAGATAAAGAGAGGCAAGGAAGGTTTGGAAAAATGGGTTAAAAGCGCACCAAATACTGACTATGCCAATGATTAAACTATGGGATAGTCTCCAAAGAGAAGCAGGAAAATTATCAATGAGTATATCTTTGATAGATCTGGAAATGTTTTCAAAGCAATTATATACTTACCAGTTTGGTTTTATACCGTTTACTTTGCTAATTATGGCCACGGCAAAAAATTTAGCGCCTCGATCTGGCCTAACTCCACGCAAGTGGTTTCTTTCTTTTGACACACACAATAGTGCCCTCAGCACAGGCTCGCGGAGTTCCACTTGAGTGACAGCCCACCTCTGAAACTTCGTACGGTCTCTTTCGAGAGCAGAAAACTTGATAAAAGGATGCTGAAAGCTGCTGACCTACTCTGTACGCAAATGCTTAAACCGTCGTCTTGCTTCATTCTTAAATATAACTGCTCAGTCATAACACTACATTAACCTGATTAGAATTATTTCCTTTTCCCAATGTACGAGAGGATTTTTAAGCGGGTAAGGGAATCCTGCCTAACACAGGAAATAGACTTGTATTTTTGGATACAGCACCTTATTTCTATTCTAGGAATCAACTGACTGCAACTCTCACTGACAATAAAAAAATGCAACCCTCTTCACAACTATTGTCACATACAACCCAGTGAGATTATTTAAAAAATAACAATCACCAGGTTAGGCTATTTGCCTATAACGTTAACAAGTCCTGAAATTATCAGGTGATCAGTGTGAATATCATAATTTGCCAGCATGGCAAATAATGTTTGTTTGTGGGGTTTTTTTAAAAATAAAATTATCAGTATTGCCAAAGTCCAAAAACGCCAACAAACACAACTCGGACTCACCACGCTGAACAGCTCAAACAGCAACAGCACTCGAGGAGAACTGGCAACAAAAACTACACTGCTAGGAAGGCAACAATTTCAACACGAAGGCACCGTAGTGAGAGCTGTGAGATTTAAGGTGCACAGTTGGTAGTATTTCCCAAAGCTCCGCTGTATTATGTAGCCTGAATATTCAGGATATTTTCAAAACTTAAGCAGTCAAGCTTCCAAACACTAGCACACCTTGCAAAGGTTCCACATTATTCTTGATTGCTCAAAAGAGAAAATTTGCTTCAGATGAAGCAAGCAATGTTCTCTCTCCAAAAGAATCCTCATACTGAAAAAAACCAACATGCTAAAGGAACGAAAACAAAAGGCCCACTTAAGATATTTCCATAACACAAGTGCTGTTGGGGTTAAGGACAATGAATTACAAGTCTCCTGTAGCTTATACATAAAATAAACAAAAAAAAAAACCAGCCCAAAAAAGCAGATTTGGGCACCAAGAATAGGAGAAAAACGAAAGACAATTTGTAAGTCATATAACTAACTACAGCTTTCTCACTTTTCCATACAGAAACGGCTTGATAAAACTTGTTTACAAAGAAACGTCAATCAACAGTGAAGTGCAATTACCTCTCAGACAAAACAGTAATATTCAGCAATGCAACTTCCATCATTTAAGACAAGTGACATATCATGGACAGTCTGTAAAAACACCTCAGAGTTAGGATCTTACCCTGATTGGCAGTGCTGATGCCCAAGTGAGTCAGATTGGCAGCAAGATTCCCGGTGCTATTGGAGCTACTCAGGGCTGGGAATGTGGATTCCTCAGGATCTAACGGTGTGGGGAGAGGGGAAGGGAAATGGATGTTTGTCAGGTCTGGCAGGGAGCCGCCTGTGTTATGCGTAGCAGGAATCAGTGTTGTAGTGTTTTCCTGGTCAGCTGATGGAAAGATGCTAAATAAGGGAGAGAGAAAAAAAAAAAAAAGACACATCTCAATTTAAATTTTAGCCTGGACAGATCTTTATAAAATCTTTTTTTAAAAAGGAAGGTGCTTTATACAGAATTATATATTGTATTTCTGATAAACCAGAGATTTAATAGTCAATGGTTCACTCATAGATGTTCTGGCTTGTCTTGCATCTATTGCAGTGTTATACCGTCTAAGGGCTTTTCGGAAAACTCAAAAGCAAGAGGACATTCAATATACAACATTCTTTCTTAAAGATCTCAATGCTCTTTAAAGAAAAAAATTGCTCAGAACTTACTTGATTCCTGGAACTTCACATGATTTAGGTCTTGATGACCCAGTCTAAAATAGAAGGAAGACATTTTTTAAAGGCAAAGATACTGCTAGAGACTAATGCTTAGGGTCTGTTTCAATTAGTAAGTTTGATTTGATTTCATACATTTCTACAGAAGAGCTATTCTTCTACCCAAGAGCTCTGTAAGGCTCTTAGAAGATATCTGTCACCTTTTGTGCTTTATTGGCCCCACAAGGCTCAGATTTGAAGAGTTTCTCCTGATATAATCAAACATGTGCATTCACACATACATATAAAGTGCCTTTCTGATCTAATGCGTAGTGATTTGTCGCTAAATATAGCGTTTAATCTCTAATCTCTGCAAGTAGTTTGTTTTGGTTGACAATATTTAGGGCATTCATTTACCTAAATATGTTTAGAAAAGAAAATCTCTACATTTGAAATGTGAGATTCCTACCTTTTTAGTGTCCCATCCTTGCTTAGAGAGGGTTTTGTCTGCCTCAGAGGTGGTTTCCTCCATTCCAGGGACAGTCAGTAATAAAACTAAAAAATGAGAACAAAAGGAATCATAGCATAATATTAAACTTTTCAGTAAGAAATTTTCAGATTGGAAGTTTAACCATTTGAAAACTCTTAAGTAACCTAGTATCATTGAATATGAAATTAATAGAGTTGTACTCTACTGTTACGAGATGAAAATTTAAAAAAACGAACACCAGAAGAGACTAAAATTGTATTTAATTAGCAAGGAGACATTTATCAGCTTCAAAAAAACCCCCCAAATACTACTTGAAAAAATTTTGGCCTCCAATTTAGATCTAAATGGAAGAGTGTATTTTGGGACCTAGTTTTTCCTACCCGTTTTTCCTGTCTTCTGCATTTTGCACAAGTGATGCACACCCGCTACATCTAACGGGCGGCCAACAGGACAATGCCAGTGGGGAAAAATCCGGACCATCTCCCCTGGGACAGAGGAATGCTATAAAGCTGTTACTTCTCCATATTCCAAGCACATTTGTTTGTTCAAAGCAATCTACTGTTTCATCATGCTAACAGCAAGGTGACAAAGAAACATCAAAAGCAAGCCCAGTCAGAGCAATGTATCAACAGAAGCCTTTCACACTGATGACTATAAATTCATATTTATGCAGTACTGTTTAAGATGATCAGTATTTAATGTTTTACAGCTATATAAGTATATGGAAGAACTGCAGCACAGTGCATATGCATCTGAGTGTTGCATGTTCACCTGTCTCTGGGTGGGTGTTTATATTTCTCTACACAGATTTAAGAGCTATTCATGCATTTCTTGAACTGACAGCGGGAACAAGGGCCAGCAGAGGGCACCAGAATTGTTAGTGCCGGAGGGCTGCGCTGCTCCAGCTTGTAACTAGAAATATGATCAGACAGTACTGTTTGTAAGCCTTGCCTCCGAGGGTATATTCACTGGTGATCTCAATCCCATAAATAAAAACTAGATGGAGTCTTGCTACTTTATGATATTGTATCACTGCCCATGAAACGCCTGTGATCTCTACGCTTGCCTAGAAGTTACTACAACCTGCAAACCTCTAGTACCGCTGAGAGCGGTCTAACCACCAGAGTCCCACAAGCCCAGATTACTTTTCCCATAGGGCAAGGTCTTCGAATGACAGAATACAGGGTTCAGGAAAATGTTCTACCAGCTCTGTATAATCTTTTCTGGATTTCAGTACCCAGAAGAGTAAATGCGGTCCTTTGTTCCAATTCCTGCGGAACTGAGTCTAGAAAGTGTTATGCATACCTGTATTTATAGAAATAGAAGAACACCAATATATGTGCATGTAATCTGAAGTACAATGCTTTGAACGTTACAAGTATTTTTACTGTTTTTCTCTGTTTACCTCTTTTCTGCTGCATGTCCTGTGACCCTCCTGAAAAGGATTCTTGTTGAGCTGGAGTCATAGTACTCTGGTGCAAGGCAGAATCAGAATTTGTCCTGAAAGGAAGGCAAACCCCAATATTTTTATTGTCAGTTTCTCTAAATAAAAGAATGCTTAATCTCAGATAAATGTAACCAACTCAGTAAAACCCGAATACTCTGTCTTAAAAAACCAAAATCTATATATGGCATACACCAGGCACAATTTCCTTGTGAAACAATCAATTCGCAGAACAAATTAGTTCAAGTTTGAAGAGCAATTGTTTCAATAATGGGATTGAGAGGAATACAGGATAAATTGCTTGCCATTGTTAGAAAATAATTCGATATGCTTTATTAAGATTATGCATGATCAAATAACGCAATTTTTAAGCTGAAAGCTGCTTATACATACTTTGGTTATACTAGTCTTTGAAAAGAAAGCATCCCTGTTTCATAGGGAGGGAAAAGGACTGCTTCAGGATGCAAGTACGTTGTGGAGACAGGAACCTCCACGGTCAGCACATCTCTCGTGATGAACTGTCCTTCACTTGGGAATGCAGGCCACCACTTAAACCACTCGGCACCTCCAAGGTCAGGAGCGTGAGGGGTAGGAACCGGCAACTCGGTGCTCCTTTCCACTCGAACGCTTGCGAGGGCAGGCTAGCCCAGCTTCTGCGCAGTGAGAAATATCCGAGTCTTTCACAGCTCAACAATTTTGGGGTGTGCCTTGGAACACCTGGCAAGATTTACCCTTAAAAAGACCACATTAGCTGACACACTTTAAGGTTAAAAGCGGGTCATCTAAAAGAATAAGCATAATGGAAGGAAAAAAAAAAAAGATTTCTAAATTCAGGAAGTCACGGCAATTCCCATTACCAGCTGCTGGGGGGAACAATAAAGGCCTTTGTTGCAGGTGAAGTGCTGTAGTATCAGAGAATGCAGTGCAAATACTAACACGCATGCAGACAATTGTGCTACTAACCTTCTCCAGCTTGTGTCTGATGGAGGCGACAGATACACAGTGCCATACGGACAGCTGTCCACGTGAGTCCATCAGTTAAGGGGAAGAACACCACAGTCTCACTTAAGTAGGAGGCCTATTTGAAGTCTTTTCCTAAGGAATAATTCACATCACCCTGTCAGAACAACTAAGCTCACATGAGAAAGGCAAGCAGACTCCCTACGGGGAACATACTGACTTTAAAAGGACACTCAAACCAAAATATTATCTGGATTGTTGTAATGTTTGAGCAACAGGACAACCATCCTCCTTTTCCCTTTCTGAGCATCTACCTCTTCCCCGAGAAGCCGTCATCTCTCCGGTCTCCCACTCACGCATCCCCTTTAGCCCCATCAAGCCAGTCTGACTGCGGCACATTTCAAGCCAGTCAGAAATAATAAGCTAATTCATTTTCACAAATGGCAAGAAGAAATAGCGCTTGGCAAATGCTAAACTGATGAATCAACTTGTAATAAAATGCACAATGAACTGCGAAGAATTATTCTGGTTTGGATTTACTCAGTTCTGAAGGGAAACTCAGCCTCACCAAGACTGCCTTGCCTTTTCCATCAAAGGATCTCAATCCCTCTCAGCTTCATGTGCATCATTATCCCCCCTTAGAGCTGAGGAAACAGAGAAAGGTAAATGCTTACTTTACAGAATAGTAGGTATTTATAGACTAGATCAGAGTTCAGAAAAAGCAGATGACATTAACTGCACAGAGATGGGAAGCAACTCCGCTGACAGGTGAGGGGGGGAGGAAGAAGGGAGCTGTAAAAACTGAAAACTGCGGTATCGTGGCAAAGGCAGGAGTTCGCTGCCAGCTCATGAACCAAAGGATATTTGTCTTCCATGTTTATCCACAGAGAGAGGGCGCCGATGCGGGGAGCCGAGACGGTTTCTGTCACGATACACTCTGTCCACCAGACCGTGATGCCGAGTTGTTCTGCTCGTGTCCAATCCTGATGACTGAAAAGGAGTCTGAGAGAGACACATGAAGTTGTAAGCACAAAAATACATGCAGGAGCACCCAGAACCTATTCATATCGTATGCAAGGCTCTATTATTCTAAGGAATAAAACTCAAAAAAGATACGGACAAGTGTAACCACGTAAATTTTTCCTCCAACAACGTTTTCACTATAGCCGTGGAAAGCAATTACCAAGGCTATCTCTTCCAGACAGAGATTAGAGACAAGTGGAGGCAGACCATGCTAGTCCTGCCCTGTCATACATCAGCACTGCTCTCCAACCTTTGTATCTCTAAAATACCACAAGTGAGTGTGGCGGGGAGCCTACTGATAACTGCTGTTTACATTCCCTTGGCGTAGCATGCAGCATGCATCCAGAAGGAACATGCTGACAACCAGAGCTTGAGCTACGAGGGCAGGAGATGCAGGAAGAAGATGCACGGTGAGCCTGACATTCATCGGAACGCACCACGGTCCCTCAAAACTTCCTTTCACCCCTCCTTTCAGCATAATTATTTTAAGGGGACACTGATAGAATGAAAAGAAAAAGAAAAGCAGTTTCCTTCCTCCTCTGTCTAGAAAAAGTTACAGCGTCCAATATTTTTTAAGTGATTTTCATTTCATTCAGGTTCCGCAGTCAACTTCGGCGGGTTGATTCCACTTTGAATCTTATCGGCGCCGATATCCTGAGAGCATTTACTTGTCAGCAACTGATTTTAGAGAATGAGGATGGCAGAGAAAAGACAGGGAAGATAAATTCCCAGGCTAAACTGGAAAACTTCTCCTACATTTCCAAAAGCCCTTCCCAGCGTATACCTGCGGGGGGGGAAAGGAAGTACCGAATGGTCAACCTCTGCTCTTACTTCAACAGCAATATATGGGCCTCTGGGGAAAAAAAACTACAGTGTCTTCCACTCCTTGCCAATGTGAACAGCTTTGCTGAGTCCCTCAACACCATCTGTTTGGAAATCCAAAATTTCCTCCTCCATTCAGGTGCTGAACGTGGCAAATGCACTGTCCTGTCTGCCAAGCCATGAAACCATCTGGCTTCCACATTAATCTTTTTCTTTCCCCCCTCTTTTTTTTTTTTTTTTTTTTTTTAAAAGTGTCCAGCTTTGGATGTTTAAATGATTATTTCTAAAAAGTTTTACATTTATTTTTAAATGTTTTTCTTGTAGTATTTAAAGAGTCTTTCTACTATTTTAAACTCTTTTCTATTTAGCAAATATTACTCTCCTCTCCCTCTATGCACACACAACCTGTGTTAATATAAATGGATGCAAAGTGGCTGTGGTGTTTATTTTCTCGTTTCAGGGCCAACGCTTTATATGCAGCAGAATATTGGTTAAGTCAACACGGGGCTAGCAAGAGAGCACAGTGACTTTTTACCGTACTCTCAGCCATTAAGATCACGGTGTTTTGCTTCAGTTCCTTAGCAAGTATGGCTTTCTTGTATGCAGACTTAGAAACCTCAAGTCATAGCATCTCAATTTTAAGTATTTTAATTTAAAGCACATTGGTTTAATCTCTGCTGCAAACACTAAACAACAATCTAGGTCTCCCTGACTGGCACCACCCCGAACTGGGAATATTCATCATTCCAAAACAACAACAAAAGGTCTCAACCTCTTCCTTGTGCTGTTGTTACACCAACGCTACCCCAAAAGGCAGCAAAATTTGCCAATACATGTGTGCTTGGAAGGTCAACAGGAAAAGCAATTTCCTATGCCAGTGGTCTCAACCACAATGTTACTAAAAAAGGAGAAGCCAGCCTGAAGCACAGAGAATGCAGACCTCACCTGGAATTTAAAAGGAAGCCAATGCATATGAGTACACAGACAAAAAGTTCAATGCAAACCCAGTTATTTCTTAAGTTTTCCCTTTTTTTGGCACAGCTTCCATATAAAAACACAACAAAAATCCAGTTTGAGTGCAACAGCGGCACAAGTAAACATGGGCCATGCCCCGCCACAGGGCTACAATTTACAGAGCGAGGAATTTTTGGGCAATGCTGTTCTCTGGCTTTCCAGGAACACAGATCCCAAGCGAATCCCTAACTCGCTTAGGGAAATCAGAAGGGAAGACAAGCACTTGAGAAAAGGGGTATCACCTCCAACAGGTCTGGCTTCGCTCAGCAGCCATCCCATGAAACTTACTCTGGACCAAACCCCCAGCAACACACCTCCATTAAAATCCCCATCCCTGCAGGGCACGGGATATTTAACTATAGTAAACAACTGTGATTGATTAAAAAAAAAAAAAAAAAAAAACAACAACCAAAGATCTGAGCATCAATTTTATTTGGAAAATAAAGAAGTAGAACGGTTTCGCTTCCCTGAAAGACATTCAAGGATTTGAGATCAGAACCAAAACTCCACAAAACATCAAAAAGAAAAAAGCAGCTAAATACAGACAGGAAGGAAAAAGCTCAGTGCTCTGAAGCAACAGTGTCCCTTTAAGATTTATCAAGACATTGACTTACGAAACAAAACGAGCAAGGCGGATGAGGAGAAAAGCGAAGAGTGGTACCTACTGACAGTTTACATTTCGGTGCCCTGGTGACAAGCAGCATTTGGGTAATCATTCTGCCTTTCCCGATGGGAGTTTAACATGCAGGCTAAGTGCACATGCTCAGAGATTGCTTAAATCACAGGCCAAGACAGTGCCAAAGAAACCACCATCTGCATCAAATTAATCCCCCATAAATCATAAGTAATCACATGACAGACCATAGCAAGTCCAGGGAGTCTGCACAGGAATTATTATGCATGTTCCAAACTGGGATGCATGGCAAAACCTGTATTTATGTGACAGACCATAACTCCTTTAAAGCTGGGAGGGTGAATCAAATAAATACTGTGCATACCAGAAAAAGTGTAACGTGTGCTAAAATACGTATCTACCTGGGCAAACAGTACACCAGTCCTAAATACGTATTTGCACAAACCTAAATACTTGTTTACCAAAGAGACAGGAACTGCTCCAAAGGCTTCTGCCAGAGCTCCGTTGTGCTGTAAATGCAAAGAACCAAGATTCTCAGACACTAACGCTCTCACCAGAGACAACCAGACAGGCTTCACCTGATCGGCAATCGTACAAGTATCTTTTGGCAATTTCATCGTATTTTAGCTTAAAATTGAACAACGTGGAAAGCATTCAGCGCTGATACAAATACATGATTTTATTTTGTTGCTTGCCACCGTTTGTTACCTGTAACAGTACCAACTTTGGATTTTTGTGTGTGTGAAAAAATACATAAAAACCTGGAGTTTAAGGACAATTTGTTTCCACGTTCTCCTCCAGTCATTCATAAATTTTTGAGTAGTCACTTTCAAGCACTCTGTTAGTTTCAGGACTAAAAGAGTCTCTGTAATAACCGTCAGTAATGGCCATCAAGCACAAAAATACTGAAATATTACTGCTTAAAAAGAACAGCAACTATGAAGTTCCTTAACAAGAAACTAAAGACAAAAACGTGAAGAGACCAGACGCTTGTGGAGTAATACTAAGGACTTCATAACGTTACAAACCTCCGGACTGGATTCCCTAAAGGCAACCAGATTAAAATAGATATTTGCTTCTCCTCTTGCACAAGATTCAAGCTTTTAACCTCCACAAATTCAGCTGTCTACCTGTATTTCAAAAGGCATAGTTAGAGGACGTCATCAATAGTTTCTCCGTATTTATTAAGCCAGCCTTCATCAGAAAACCACAAACTGCAAAATTTAATTCTTACCACATCCTTGTCAGATAAAATGTAAATGCTACTACTCAAGAAAGGAGAACTAATGCAGAAATTTTAATTATTTTGAGCACACTAAATCAACTAACTATAGAAATGAGGAGCCCCAAAAGTATCCATCACCTAATCCTACCTGCTATACAACAACATCTGCCCAAACACGTTTACTAACAGCAAAACATTCATATAAAACACTGATTTTCTGTTTATAGTGCATTACCTCTGGAGTCACAACAGCTGGGGAAAAAAAAAAAAAAAAAAAGCCAGTGCATCTCTACATTTACTTTTCAGCCAGACCAAGGAAAAGTGACTATTCTGATACCGGTTTGTGTCCCATTCCCCTTCTCCTCTCCTAAAATCCAGGCATTACTCCAATGGAACATGCACACCACCATGGGGCACCTTCTTCCACACCCCCCTCTCCCAGCACTTTCCTTGAATTATTTGCTTCCACTTTTGCTTTGAGTCTACAGTATCTTCACAGAAGATTTCGTTATGAATTTGGTACTGAACAAAAAAAACCCACCACCACCATGAATATTCACTAACAAAGAAATTGTATCGCCTCTGCGTATTCTTGACAAAAAAGAATCACGACTGGGGACAGAAGAACTGACATCTAACACTAAATATATACGATAGAAAAATATCCACGCATCCTATACACAACTATGTTCCGTTCCAAAAGAGCAAAAGTTTTTAAAACGGGGTGATCTGCTGAGGCCATGGTGCTATGTTCTGAACCAGCAGCTAGTTCATGGTCTCCTGTGAGGGAAAAATAGGATGCAGACACAGCATTAATCACCAAAAAAGAAAGAAACACCCTATTAAACTCACCTGGAAGGGCAGATCCATGGCACTGTTTCCAATCTGATTCACATTTGGCAGTGACCCACCGTAGTACTGGCCACGACTCTGTCCCAGTTGCAAATATTGGGTTTTCTGCAGCTGTAACTAAAAGAAAAGGAGGAGGAAAGTGTAAGGGTAACTCATTTATTTTTCAGCTGTTTTAACCGACTCAACTTGACACCATGTCCGTTATCACCGAGAATGGATACCATCTACAAACAGCACGAATTCAACTTCTCCACAAGGCACGGCTGGCAAACTGCCACGTTAGGTCCTGAGTGACAGTGTAAAGCGATGGAAGAAAGATCAGCTTCCTAGTCAGCGACCGTATTCGATTTCCAAGAAATAACCACCACGTGCCATCACACGGTTCTTATGCCACCTGCTATTCTGAAAATCAGGGTGTAAAAACCCCATGTCAGCCTGATCGTCACTCTAATACCAAAATTAACCGGCTGTTCATGTGTGTGGTATACAAATAAGAAAGCCACCTTACTTTAGTATAGTGAGGATACTGTTTAACCAAATAGTCAACTTCTTAGCAATCTAGGTACCAGAGATGTTATAGCAAGTTGTAGCTTTCTACCATTAGGTAAGCTTTCTTGTTTCTTGCACCAGGAAAAGCTCTGCAGGAAGGGCAGAGACACAGGTTTTCAAAGAAAACCCAACCAACCAAAGGAAAAAAACACAGCAAAGAATTCCTTATTGAACAGGTACGCATGAAAATAAATGTGTCAGTCTGCAAAGTTTCACTAAATGCTAGGTATCCCTCGTCGGCTCTGAATGACACCTCTCTACTAAAAGATTCAAGTATGCTTTCCCATAGTTGTATACAGTTCTGGCGTACAAAAAGAGCGCGCATGAGAAAGCCGTTTCTTTTCTACTCAAACACCAACGTCTTTTCGTTGTCACTTCTGTCACAAGACTATATTGTCTCAACAGCTTGTAATAAGAGCTCCGATTTTTGATTAATCTTTTGTTAGTGACCTTTCTCAATTTTTCAGTTTAGTAGTACCAGTATTTAAAATAATTTCTCATTCAATTCTGTAATGTTCCCACTCAACACATCTAGATTTAAGACCATGCTGCCACCGGAGCCCTATTTTACACTGATAAAGCAGAATTTGCAATCATCTGAACACAACAATCCTGCTCCCAGGGATGCATCTTCCAAGGACTCAAGAAACTACAATTAAAGTAGCAAAGAAATGAGCTTACATAAGTTCCCTCTCCTCCCACTGTGGAGGAGTACATATTTTATAATGTATGTTGTTCCTCACTAGATGTCAACTGGCTGTTTTTGCACTCTGAAATGCAAGAACATTCCTAGATTGGTAGCAAAGAATTGTTAAAAGACTAAACGTTCAGATCTTGGACTAGATGCAGGTTGGTTGCTAAGGTACTGTAGTGTGTACATCAACAAATCTGGTTTAGTTTCATTCAAATGATCCGAAAGCCTTTGCCTCGCAATGCCACAGTTCTGAAGAGCAACGTTTGGAAAAGTACTAGAAAACACGGCATCCCCAAAATCGGATGTTTACGTGGGTTTTTTTTTTTTCTTTACACTTTCTTCAAGCAAAGGAAACGGCAGGGTGGAAACAAACGGCCCTGCCTCTACAGGTTTACCACAAAGGCCCTGAGGTTGAGTGAAGATGTTTCTAGCAAAGCGAAGGAACCTTGCCTGTTGACAAGGGGATCTACGCAGAGTCCTCTGATCAAACGGTAATACCACAAGCAGGGATGCGGAGCGGTGCCGACAGCACCAAGACAGGGCAGAGAGAAGAGGGACCAGTCTGCTTATAGCATGCCGACGCTTGGGGATACGTGTATTAAAATAATCCCTGAGTAGAGGAGGAGAAAACGAGATCACCCCGAGGAAAACACTGCATGCATTCTTCTGACTTTAAAACTATCCCTAGGAAAGCAACTCGAATACCTTTTATTCCCAGAATCTCCCTCAGAAGCCACCAATTTCCAAATACACAGACAGCCAAAATCTACTGCTTTAGCCGAGGGATCGAATTAATCCAAAACTTACAAGACAGCTCTTAGACATGAAACCTCTCTACGGAACGGGCGCCCTCAAAAGCCTCAACTCTTCGGGCAGGATATCAGTCACAAAGTGGCTGATGTTTTTTTCTTAACCAAAGGACAGATAAATCCCCTCAGCCCAAAGACTTATAAAATATTCACAGCATGCCGTATCAAACGGTTCAACAGGATCCCATCTAAAGAGCAGGAAAGGGCCCCCCACACTTTTCTTTCGCAATGTTTTGACACGCAATTACAATCCAGTGCTCTCTAAGCAATAGATGAAATTAGAGAAACGCTCCGCGCTGGTATCGCTTAATGAGTCACAGCCCCTCTCATAGCTGCAGATCACTAAAAGCACAATATCAGAACTAGCTGTGCTTTTTGCCTGGCCCGTACATATGTTTTTGTTGTTAAAAAAAGGCTTGCTTGGGATTTGTGCCAAACATCGAAGTAACTATTTCAACAGGTGTTGGTTTCTTTTAAAGAACCTACTCTAAGACGCCCAGGGAGGGGGGGTGCTTTATGTTTTTTTAACGTTTTGGCCTTCCCCGGTACATACCTACCCCAAAGCATAATGTAACAACAGGTCACGACCATTTGTCTTTCCACTGCAGTTAAACCTGGAAACAAGGAAACACAAGAGATCGAGAACTGAAGCGGTTCTCAAAAACGAGCTTGTTCAATGTCTTTGCAGCATCATTAATTTTAGTAACGCTACCTTCGATAAACACTTTTGGAGATCCGTGCCAAAAATCAGAGAACTGATTGCTGGTTATTGCTATCGTATATCATCACACCAGCGTGTAGATCTGTATTTGTTCCTCTCTTCGGCCTCCTGCCTTTTAGCAGCGAGTGGCCCCCAGACTCCGCGGTTTATAGGAGACCATCAACAACTGCCACTTGCAATCTACGGAGATCAAGTGTAAGCAGAGCAGGCCGGTTTGCTGAGCACCTCAAACCTCCAGCTTTTTCGCCGCTAAGAAAGCATTTTTAAACACCGCGACATTAGACCTTACTGCCATTCCAACAGGAGATCTCAAGCAAAATCAGCTCAAGTCTTTCCAAGCAGAGGATCGGGAAAAAACCTGCAAATTTCACTGTCATTCTTCAGGATAACTCGGGAGCCTCGAGTCTTACTAAGGGGACCTGTGCACAAAGAAAAGCAACGCTGAAAATGAAAACAGACATCGGTTGTGACTAAAATGAACATTTCCTCCCTTTTCTGTAAAACTACCTTGTGAGGTGAATTAAGTATATTGCACAATTTGGGGTTTGGGGATGAGGTTTGAAGAGGGGGATTGTGGGGTTTTATTTTAAAGGGGGGAAAAAAAAAAAGCCTTTCTTAATAGAAAAAATTCAGATTACTCTTAAAATGTTAACAAGTCTCATGACAACTCTAGCTTTATCTCCTGGGGTTAGACTCAATTAGTGGCAACTTGCTTTCTATATGAATTTAGATAGTGAAGTACGATAATGAATTACTTAGCGTTCACCAGATATATTAATTTCTTGAACCATGAGAACTCAGTGACTCTACATTACAGCTTCTCCATTTATGTATTATGTGGCCAAGATAATAGCTCCTTGACAGTTGAAAATATTGCTAAATATTCCAGTTCTTTCCTGAGAAAGCTTTTGGTAAGGAAAAAGCTTTTGCTTGTTAAACCGTTTTATTTCTGCTTGGCGTTCTTGTTGAGAAGAAATGTTTCCCAAACGACAGATCTTAACTGAATCTGTAATTTTCCCTCCACCAGCATTTCTCTTTTGCTACTTAAAAAAAAAAAAAAAAAAAAGAAGATTTTAAGTTAAAATCCAATTTCATCGTTAAAAATCAAATACTTCTGCACAAGCAGTTTCCTAGAATAGCTGAAAACGTTCCCCACATAAAAGGTTGACACACTGTTCGTCTGACAGATTTGAAGTTATGTTAAAACCAATAAATTTCTGCAGAGGTGCAAGAGTAACAATCTGCGAGGCGGCAGCAGCATCTGTACAGCAAACGGGAAAGGAAGCGCTGCTTCTCCAGGTAGGAATCAGGAATTTGCAGGCAATTACATTCCTAACTCAGCTAACAGTTGAGTAACTTGACATGATCTCACTCTGGTTAATGGAACTGGACACACACAGCTTTGGTAAGAAATCAAAAATATTAGATTTAACGTAATTACTGACTTGCTAACAATGGAACATTCTTCCAGATAGTAGTGTTTATGCGAACCCATTTATATGAACTACCTCAATTTTTCCATTTAGATTGGGTTCAAGTTTGCTGGATATACAGCTGTGTTTGTAGGGAGAGATTCAAGTTATACATTAAAAAAAAAAAAAAAAAAAAAAAAGAGAAACATATCCCTCAAAGCATATCCAGTTTTCCTACAGACTTTCTAAGTGTCCAAAATATGCAGATGGGAATCAAAGGAAGCATTTATTAAAATTCAACACTTCAACTTCTCTAAAGTCTTCCCAAAAAATTATGGGCAAACTACAAACTTACGGACAGAACTCAACCGTAATCAAACAGCAGATCTGACACTGGAACGGAGTCAATCAAAATCCACTAGAACCGTTTCTTTTAAAATGCCCTTTTGAACACAGAAAAATTTGACTCCCACAAGGGTGGAGTGGCCTTTTCATAAAAACCCCCTAAGGTATCTGATGAATACAGGAAGTCAGATCTCATGATAACTGCTCTTTTGCTGGTTTGCAGTTTCCATACCAAGCTTTCTCATAAATTTTAGCTTTTCACTTGAGAAAGCTTTCTCTTTAGCATGTTGAGGCTAACAAGCAGCAAAACGAGTGCAGATTAAAATTAGAAATGTCTTATTAAAGCTTAATTGGAAATTAAATTCTGTTTAAAGGATTAACTGGAAGTTTTAGAGACTGCATTATAGGTAAATCCTGTTGTTCAAATCAGTTCGAAGTTTCCCAGTTGGATACGCCTGAACTTTCTCAGGAAGGCTTTCCCCTAGAGC